CCTAGCATGCTACTGACCAAATATCATCTCCCTGGGCAGTTTGGTTATTGAGAAGAAGTTGTTTAAAGTTTTTATCATATTTGACCCCTGTGACCTTGAAAATAGATGAAGGTCATTTATTTGAACAAACTTGGTAGCCCTTCATCCCAGTTTGCTTCTGGCCAAATATCATCACCCTAGGCCTTTCGGTTATTAAGAAGAAGTCGTTTAAAGTAAAATATTGACGCCGGACGACGGACAGACGGACGGACGGACGACGGACGGACGACAGACGCCGCACCACGGCATAAGCTCACTTGGCACTTCGTGCCAGGTGAGCTAATAATATACCCGACCTTGAAGAGTTGATTTACTGGATGCAGATATGGACTATTGATAAAGATATTTCAAACATACATTTCATATTTATCATAATGTCATATTCGACAAAATAAATTAGTTTCAAAACAAACAAAAATCTGGTATATTTTCGGTTTGAAAGTAGATTGGATCAATCTTATGTTTTTCATACATGTCACAATTTTGAATGATCATAAAGAAATACATTTTATTTATTCTAATTTTAACCTGTAAGTTGTCTGTCATAGCATGTGTTCCATAAATAAATTGAAGCAAAATTTACTTTTATTACAAAATTTCAGTTTTATGATAATTTGAGCAGAGTTGGGGACAGCATTATGAATAAAAGGAACAAATACAGTATTAGACCCTCAACACATTCTAAAGGAAGTAATGTTAAAGTTAAACATAAAATTTTAAAAAATACAAGCATCAATAAAAGCATTTGAACCTTGGTGTTAAAGAGTTTTAGGTACAGATTTCACTCTGTAGACATAACTGGGTTCTCTAAACTAAATTTCCCCAAAAGTTGGCCTAATCAGTGATAAGGTAACTGTACATGGTAACTAAATTTCTCTAGCCTGTCAATTTCTCCTGTTTGACCAGTAACATTTTGAAATTATAAATAAGTCTGTCCAGTGACATTTTGGCATTATAAAAAAGTTTGCCTAGTGACATTTTGACATTATAAAGGAATTTGTCCTGTTACATTTTGGCATTATAAATAAGTTTGTCCAGTGACATTTTGGCATTAAAAAGAAGTTTGTCCAGTGACATTTTGGCATTTTGGCATTATAAAGAAGTTTGTCCATTGACATTTTGGCATTATGAATAAGTTTGTCCAGTGACATTTTGGCATTATAAAGGAGTTTTTCCATAGAAATTTTGGCATTATAAAGGAGTTTGTCCAGTGACATTTTGGCATTATAAATAAGTTTGTCCAGTGACATTTTGGCATTAAAAAGAAGTTTGTCCAGTGACATTTTGGCATTATAAAGAAGTTTGTCCATTGACATTTTGGCATTATAAATAAGTCTGTCTAGTGACATTTTGGCATTATAAATAAGTTTGTCCAGTGACATTTTGGCATTATAAAGGAGTTTGTCCATTGACATTTTGGCATTATAAAGAAGTTTGTCCACTGACATTTTGGCATTATAAAGAAGTTTGTCCATTGACATTTTGGCATTATCAATAAGTTTGTCCAGTGGCAATTTAGCATTATAAAGGAGTTTGTCCAGTGACATTTTGGCATTATAAAAGAGTTTGTCCAGTGACATTTTGGCATTATAAAGGAGTTTGTCCAGTGACATTTTGGCAATATAAAGGAGTTTGTTTAGTGACATTTGGACATTATAAATAAGTTTGCCTAGTGACATTTTGGCATTATAAAGGAGATTGTTTGTCCAGTGATATTTTGGCATTATAAAGGAGTTTGTCCAGTGACATTTTGGCAATATAAAGGAGTTTGTTTAGTGACATCTGGACATTATAGATAAGTTTGCCTAGTGACATTTTGGCATTATAAATAAGTCTGTCTGGTGACATTTTGGCATTATAAAGGAGGTTGTCCAGTGACATTTTGGCAATATAAAGGCGTTTGTTTAGTGACATTTGGACATTATAGATAAGGTTGCCTAGTCACATTTTGGCATTATAAAGGAGATTGTTTGTGCAGTGATATTTTGGCATTATAAAGGAGTTTATCCAGTGACATTTTGGCAATATAAAGAAGTTTGTCCATTGACATTGTGGCATTATAAAGAAGTTTGTCCAGTGACATTTTGGCATTATAAAGAAGTTCAGTAAGTTATCAAGGCCTTGTTTATAAAGGCATCGTAAAGGAAAAGAAACTCTGAAATATGTTGGTGATTAGCAAGTAGGCAACTGAAACCAGATCGGCATAATATCAAAGTTTTCCTGTATATTATGATTTACATAAATATGTCGAAATATTATCACTTTCAAAGTCAAGTTGTTATATGTTTTGATTTTTACTGATAAAGCATTTTACTAAAGTTATTACCTTCAATTTTATATTCATTTGAAACTGACATTCATGACAATATTTAGCCCTAAACTCTATGACAAATTCCTCCGTGAATATCAGTCAGGTGTAGCGAAGCATTTCCTGTTCACTTCCGACTTTATTTGTCAAAAGTGTTTAATGGCATTCTTAGGTAAAATTGATTTATAGCATGCTCTAGAGAACTCTCATTGATAATCATTTCTAAATTATTCTGGTGATTACCATTTTGATCTGTGGAAAGAAATTCATATTTCAGCTGGTGTTATTAGTCATGATGTTTTGCCAGAAAGTCTTTAAAGCGATTCAGACAGATGTCGCAAGATATGAGTTATTTAGTGCAAAAGATGTTTATGTGTTCATTTACTGGAGCCTTCTTTTTTTTTTTTTTTTTTTTTTTTTTTTTTTTACAAATCAGTGATTATATGAAACTTTGTCAGAAAGAATTATAAATTCAATGTTGTAATTCCTTCCTTTAGGTGAAATTTTCACAAGTAGATAAATAAGAGGAATATAATCCCTTTAAAATCTACCGGTGATGTCAATATATATATATATTGGAAAAGTACAATAACGTTGTCACCCGTAAGTGTTTAACCCACATGATCGTTGTCATCAAGATAATTACGGCCACATTATTGCCAGATGTTCAACTGTGTTCCAAATTTGTTATAAAGATGATTTATTTTTTCAGATATACAGATCTTTATTAAATAAGACCCTGTAAGTAACTCATTAATTTTTTATGAGATCTTATATAGCAATTACCATAACTTACCGAGATTTCTGTGAACATGAATGGTTAAAAGTAATCTTCATGTCTTCATTGAACCTAAAAAGGTTCTTTTGGTTTCGTTCGTTTGTGTTTTACATACCATTATGGTCATTTCAGGACGTGCCAAGTTTTGATGGTGGAGGAAAACTGGAGTGCTATGGCCAGTACCTGGCGACTACCCCATGTAGGCCTTGAACCCAAGACCATGGGGTGGAGGTCTAGTGGTAGCAGAAAATCTGATGCCTTAAACCACTTGGCAACTGCCCGTCATCCATTTTATCATGAATTTTTTCATTGCTGCTGAGACAACAATTGACATTCTAAGATATTCATACCACATTTGATTTGTACTTACCACCCCGCGGCAGAGAGCCACAGCCGCTGTTGAAGAATGGGAGGTGACGTCCCCTCTATACATACAATCATCTGTGTGCAAAGAACTTTCCGTTTCCATGGAGCTTGTGACGTTACTTCCATGTCGAAGATAGACTTTGAACCCGGGGGCCAATAAATGAGAATTGGGATATAGTTTTAGATGAAAGGTTTCGTTGCCCGATGTGATGTTGAGGTATAAATGATTGTCTAGTTCCACGCTACGACGATGACGGTCCGCTAGATGAAGGCGATGAGAATCACTTGTCCAATGGGAGATGAAACGGCCTTCACTATTTACAAGGATAATATGAGCAAGTCTGTAATCTGAAATCAACAAGAAGAAATGCATGTACACTGAAATTACCACCATTGGAAAGAAATTAACATGAAATTATTGGATAAAGTCTCAGTGCTTAGCTGAACAAGTTTGATCCCCATTAAATGTGATTGAAATCATTATGTTCTGAGACAAGAGCATAAAAAAGTATGAATGAATGAATTAAGGTATTGAACAAGAGAGCTGTCAGACATGTAATCCCTTCATCCCAGCATGCTACAGGCCCAATATCAGTACCCTGGGCCTTTTGGTTATTGAGAAAAAGTTGTTTGAAGATTTTAACACATCTGACCCCTGTGACCTAGAAAGTGGGTCAATGTCATTCATTTGAACAAACTTGGTAGCCCTTCATCCTAGCATGCTACTGGCCACATATCATCAACCTGGGCCTCTTGGTTATTCAGAAGAAGTTGTTTAAAGTAAAAAGTTGATGCCGGATGGACGACGGACGCTGCACCATGCCATAAGCTCACCTGGCCTTTTGGGCCAGGTGAGCTAAAAACCCTAAACAACATTTGTCATAACATATAAATGATTTTCACTGCATGTATAATTGGCACTTTCACCTCAAGGTTAGCTAGGTTCTGAAAAATTCTATTTTCAGTAACAGTGACCTTGACCTTATTCACAACCAATTAGAAAGCCTTCCTAACTCCTGGATTAACAATGTGTAAATGGATTAAAAAATATTTGTTTACATATTATTCAAACTGACCACATCACATGTGTGTGACTTTCAAATTGGGTCAAGTTCAAATTTATTTAAAAGTAGGCCTACTAGGGTTCATGTGACAATAGTATGCGATTGCCAAAAGGCTACTGAGACACTTTAGAAGGTTGACAAATGATTCAGATCTGAGAACACGTCGCCTCATGATACAGTTGAAACAAAAGCAGGGAATAGATAGGTATTATATATCTAATATATATTAGAGTATATAAATACAGCTGTCTAGCATTTCAAAAGTCTCCAACATCAAAGTCTGTGTAAAATAATATGTAAATAATCGAAAGATTGAAATAAAAGAATAGGCATCCAAACTGCACTCAGAGACTCACTGTAGTACAAGTATTTGTGTTGTGTCTACACCTCAGACTGACACACTCTAGTACAAGTATTTGTGTTGTGTCTACACCTCAGACTGACATACTGTAGTACAAGTATTTGTGTTGTGTCTACACCTCAGACTGACACACTGTAGTACAAGTCTCTATGTTGTGTCTACTTCTCAGACTGACACACTGTAGTACAATTCTCTATGTTGTGTCTACCCCTCAGACTGACACACTCTAGTACAAGTATCTGTGTTGTGTCTACACCTCAGACTGACACACTGTAGTACAATTCTCTATGTTGTGTCTACACCTCAGACTGAAACACTGTAGTACAAGTATCTGTGTTCTGCCTACTCCTCAGACAGACACACTGTAGTACAAGTCTCTATGTTGTGTCTTCTCCTCAGACTGACACACTGTAGTACAAGTCTCTATGTTTTGTCTACACCTCAGACTGACACACTGTAGTACAATTCTCTATTTTGTGTCTACACCTCAGACTGAAACACTGTAGTACAAGTATCTGTGTTGTGCCTACTCCTCAGACTGACATACTGTAGTACAAGTATCTGTGTTGTGTCTACTCCCCAGACTGACACACTGTAGTACAAGTATCTGTGTTGTGTCTACTCCCCAGACTGACACACTGTAGTACAAGTATCTGTGTTGTGTCTACTCCCCAGACTGACACACTGTAGTACAAGTATCTGTGTTGTGTCTACCCCTCAGACTGACACACTGTAGTACAAGTCTCTATGTTTTGTCTACACCTCAGACTGACACACTGTAGTACAAGTATCTATTTTGTGTCTACACCTCAGACTGACACACTGTAGTACAATTCTCTATGTTGTGTCTACTCCTCAGACTGACACACTGTAGTACAAGTATCTGTGTTGTGTCTACTCCCCAGACTGACACACTGTAGTACAAGTATCTGTGTTGTGTCTACCCCTCAGACTGACACACTGTAGTACAAGTCTCTATGTTCTGTCTATACCTCAGACTGACACACTGTAGTACAAGTCTCTATGTTTTGTCTACACCTCAGACTGACACACTGTAGTACAATTCTCTATGTTGTGTCTACACCTCAGTCTGAAACACTGTAGTACAAGTATCTGTGTTGTGCCTACTCCTCAGACTGACATACTGTAGTACAAGTATCTGTGTTGTGTCTACACCTCAGACTGACACACTCTAGTACAAGTCTCTATGTTCTGTCTACACCTCAGACTGACACACTGTAGTACAATTCTCTATGTTGTGTCTACACCTCAGACTGAAACACTGTCGTACAAGTATCTGTGTTGTGCCTACTCCTCAGACTGACATACTGTAGTACAAGTATCTGTGTTGTGTCTACTCCTCAGACTGACACACTGAAGTACAAGTCTCTATGTTGTGTATACACCTCAGACTGACACACTGTAGTACAAGTCTCTATGTTGTGTCTAAACCTCAGACTGACACACTGTAGTACAAGTCTCTGTGTTGTGTACATACCTCAGACAGACACACTGTAGTACAAGTCTCTATGTTGTGTCTTCTCCTCAGACTGACACACTGTAGTACAAGTCTCTGTGTTGTGTCCATACCTCAGACAGACACACTGTAGTACAAGGCTCTATGTTGTGTCTACACCTCAGACTGACACACTGTAGTACAGGTCTCCATGTTGTGTCTACTCCTCAGACTGATATACTGAAGTACAAGTATCTGTGTTGTGTCTACTCCTCAGACTGAAACACTGTAGTACAAGTCTCTATGTTGTGTCTACACCTCAGACTGACACACTGTAGTACAAGTCTCTATGTTGTGTCTACACCTCAGACTGACACACTGTAGTACAAGTCTCTATGTTGTGTCTACACCTCAGACTGACACACTGTAGTACAAGTCTCTATGTTGTGTCTACACCTCAGACTGACACACTGTAGTACAAGTCTCTATGTTGTGTCTACACCTCAGACTGACACACTGTAGTACAAGTCTCTATGTTGTGTCTACACCTCAGACTGACACACTGTAGTACAAGTCTCTATGTTGTGTCTACACCTCAGACTGACACACTGTAGTACAAGTCTCTATGTTGTGTCTACACCTCAGACTGACACACTGTAGTACAAGTCTCTATGTTGTGTCTACACCTCAGACTGACACACTGTAGTACAAGTCTCTATGTTGTGTCTACACCTCAGACTGACACACTGTAGTACAAGTCTCTATGTTGTGTCTACACCTCAGACTGACACACTGTAGTACAAGTCTCTATGTTGTGTCTACACCTCAGACTGACACACTGTAGTACAAGTCTCTATGTTGTGTCTACACCTCAGACTGACACACTGTAGTACAAGTCTCTATGTTGTGTCTACACCTCAGACTGACACACTGTAGTACAAGTCTCTATGTTGTGTCTACACCTCAGACTGACACACTGTAGTACAAGTCTCTATGTTGTGTCTACACCTCAGACTGACACACTGTAGTACAAGTCTCTATGTTGTGTCTACACCTCAGACTGACACACTGTAGTACAAGTCTCTATGTTGTGTCTACACCTCAGACTGACACACTGTAGTACAAGTCTCTATGTTGTGTCTACACCTCAGACTGACACACTGTAGTACAAGTCTCTATGTTGTGTCTACACCTCAGACTGACACACTGTAGTACAAGTCTCTATGTTGTGTCTACACCTCAGACTGACACACTGTAGTACAAGTCTCTATGTTGTGTCTACACCTCAGACTGACACACTGTAGTACAAGTCTCTATGTTGTGTCTACACCTCAGACTGACACACTGTAGTACAAGTCTCTATGTTGTGTCTACACCTCAGACTGACACACTGTAGTACAAGTCTCTATGTTGTGTCTACACCTCAGACTGACACACTGTAGTACAAGTCTCTATGTTGTGTCTACACCTCAGACTGACACACTGTAGTACAAGTCTCTATGTTGTGTCTACACCTCAGACTGACACACTGTAGTACAAGTCTCTATGTTGTGTCTACACCTCAGACTGACACACTGTAGTACAAGTCTCTATGTTGTGTCTACACCTCAGACTGACACACTGTAGTACAAGTCTCTATGTTGTGTCTACACCTCAGACTGACACACTGTAGTACAAGTCTCTATGTTGTGTCTACACCTCAGACTGACACACTGTAGTACAAGTCTCTATGTTGTGTCTACACCTCAGACTGACACACTGTAGTACAAGTCTCTATGTTGTGTCTACACCTCAGACTGACACACTGTAGTACAAGTCTCTATGTTGTGTCTACACCTCAGACTGACACACTGTAGTACAAGTCTCTATGTTGTGTCTACACCTCAGACTGACACACTGTAGTACAAGTCTCTATGTTGTGTCTACACCTCAGACTGACACACTGTAGTACAAGTCTCTATGTTGTGTCTACACCTCAGACTGACACACTGTAGTACAAGTCTCTATGTTGTGTCTACACCTCAGACTGACACACTGTAGTACAAGTCTCTATGTTGTGTCTACACCTCAGACTGACACACTGTAGTACAAGTCTCTATGTTGTGTCTACACCTCAGACTGACACACTGTAGTACAAGTCTCTATGTTGTGTCTACACCTCAGACTGACACACTGTAGTACAAGTCTCTATGTTGTGTCTACACCTCAGACTGACACACTGTAGTACAAGTCTCTATGTTGTGTCTACACCTCAGACTGACACACTGTAGTACAAGTCTCTATGTTGTGTCTACACCTCAGACTGACACACTGTAGTACAAGTCTCTATGTTGTGTCTACACCTCAGACTGACACACTGTAGTACAAGTCTCTATGTTGTGTCTACACCTCAGACTGACACACTGTAGTACAAGTCTCTATGTTGTGTCTACACCTCAGACTGACACACTGTAGTACAAGTCTCTAT